TTTGGTGGTAGGTTGGTGAGTTTGGCTGCAATTTCATGTCTGTTTTTCATTTGGGATAGTGACCATGTTGTGTCATTAATTCTGACTGAGTCTCCTTTAATTAAAGTGCTTTTTTGATTGACTAATTTGTCTTTGATTTCTTGGTTTTCGAATGTGATTGTTGCACATTGCCAGAGATTTTGTGTGCTTATTGTGATCCCTTGAATTTTGCCAAATTTGGTGAAGGCTTGTTTGACCTCAATTAGTTTTGTGTTTAGAGGAATATCCCAAACCACTATAGATTTGCTTTTTTTGATTTCATGGCATTTGATTTCCATGTGTTTGAGTTTGTATTTACCCATTTCGGGTAATTTGATTGTTGTTGCATGATCTACTGCTTGTTTATCTCCAAATATGGCTATGATTTTCTTTTCTTTATTTTTACCTTTACTGTGAACTGATAGTAAACCTTCTGGAGAGTTAAGTGTGAGGATAATGTATTCAATTTTTTGGTTGATTGTTTGGCCTTTGACCTTGCTTGCTAGGATTCCTAGCTTAAAATGTTCTCTTCCATATTGGACTGTTCTATCAAAGGATGAGATGGGTCTTGATTTTCCTCTGTTGTTATAAGTTTCTTTTGCTTTTCTTTTGTTAACTGTGAACCAGTCTTTCCCAGTAGGTTCATGATCTTCTGTTTCCATTTCTTTATTTGTGTCGTCTAGATGTACTATTCTGTTCTCTTGGACTCTTTGTGATCTTTTTTGCTCCATCAGGTCGCTCCATAATGAGGTTAAGTTTGATTCTTGGCTATTTTGCTCTGTCGGAGAGTTGGTTACTGTCTCCAAGTTTGCTTGGATGTTTTGTTGTTCAGTGGTTGTTGTTGTGGTAGTGGTTGGAGAGTTTTTCCCTGTGCTTGGGTTGGTTTCAGTCATCTTGTTGTTGAAATTGTTTCTGTTGGCTGTGTTGTTAGGTTTCTTTGCATATAGTTGTGTTCTGAGCAGGATGTTTTCTCTCCCTGCTCTTTTTTCATATCTAATGGATTGTTCGGTTGTGGTTGGTGTTGTGCTGGACCTTTTTTGGCTGCTATTGTTGCTTGCCATCTTTCCTTGGAACCATTTTCTTTTATTTCCTAAAAATGAAATTTTTTACAATTTTGTTGATTGTGGGAAAGAGTTTTTTTTTTTTTTGATTTAATACAAAACTTATAAAAAAGTAATTATATATATATATATATCAGTAAATCTAATATAAAAAATAAATTTATATATTTGTTTTAATATTGAAAATTGAAATCAAACAGATTCATATAAATTTATATAAAATTCAAAATACTATTAAAAATGATAATAGATTATAATCCATATATTAAATTTAATATAAACTGAAAAATTGAAAATTAAATTAAATTAAATTATTAAAAATTTTACTTGTAGATATTAAAAACATATATTTAAAAATCTGAAAGTATTCTTTTGATTTACAAGTAAATATATAAATTTTTTTTTTATTTTTTTAAAAATTTTAATTTGATCTAAACTTTTTATTATATCAAAACTTTCAAATAATAATTTGTAAAATTTGAATTAAATAATTAATATATAGTATAACAAAAAATTTAAGTAAAAAATATAACTTTTATATATTTTAATTTATATAATAACAAATTTAATAATATTATTAATTATTATATGAAAATCAAGATTAATATTAATTATATTATATAATAATTATAAATTCCAGGAATTTTAGAATTTCTAAAATTTCAAGAATTCTAATAATTCTAGAAATAACTAAAATAGCCAATATTCTAAAAATAGTAAAAATAATTAAGATGGTTTTTTGTATTTAATATATATATATAATTTGAAAGTTGATCTAATAAAAATTAAGCTTTTATAATAGAAAATATAAAAAGTTTTAAGTAATAGTTTCAAATATAATTATAATGATTTTATTAAATATTATATAAAAAAGTTAAATCAAATTCTTTTTATATTTTAAATCTTATAAAATTAAAAGTTAAATATTAAAGAAACCTTTAGCTCCTTACAATTATAACAAAAAAAAACAAAATAATAAAGTATCTGTTTTGTTAAAAAATAATTTAATATATATTTTTTTCTTTTATATTAATTTTATTTTTCTTTAAATTAAAGAAGATTTTATTTTAATTTAATAATAAACTTCTTTTATTATTAACTATTTTAAAAAAATATTTAAGCAATAAAATTATATAGTAATAAATAAAGATAAATTTTTAAACAGATAATATTATTTGTTATATGTTTCAATTGTTAAACTTTTATAATTTAAATTAAATAATATTTAATATTATATAATTTAAAGATCTATTTTTAGTAACAGAGCACTATTTTAAGCAATATATTTTTAAATAATAAGTTTTATCATAAATATATTTTAAATGTTTTTAATTAGCAATAAAATAATAAAAATTAAATAAATCTTCTAATTGCAAGTAGTTATATTAAAGATGATTTAAAAAGTTATTATTTATCAATATATATATATATTTCTTAAAAAATAAATTTATTATTATTTTTTAAAACTAAAAGATTATATTGAAGTAACAATCTAAATATAGTCTGGCTTTAATTTCTCAAGACTAAAATTCTAATATTTGACTTTAAAAAAGAAGTAGCTTTAGAAAATTAGAATTTAAAAAGTCTAAAATAGGTAATATAATGTAATAATAGCTTAATGAATCTACTTTTTTGTAATAAGGTAGCTAATAAATAGTTAAATAATATAAACAACATGATGGTTTTGATATTAAAAATTCAAGAATTATATATAAATCTATAAATAACTTAGCTTTAGTATAAATCTCAATGTATTGAATTTTGTACTACTGTTTTTTAGCAATTGTTATTTTTTAAGAAAAATCTATTGGTTTTTGAAATAAAAATCTTTTCATGAAAAAACAATGATCTGTTGCATTTTATAAAATAAATAACATTAAACAATAAGATTATTATTAAAATGTTGATAAATTTAAAAATTGATTGATTTATTAAAACGATAAAATGTCTGCAACAATTACTTGTTGAAAAAATTTGAATACTGCATATGCTTTTATGTCCTTGAGTATTTCAATAATACTGAGTTGCTTGGGTACTAACGGGATCATTCCACTGTTTACAATACATCTGCAAGAGGTAAATCCATTTGGTTTCAGGTTTATTAAGTGGAATATGTGACCCACTAAATGTTCGGAACTTTATGCAATTTTAATTTCGGAGCCTTATCCAGAGCCTAAGAAAATAAATAAGTTGATATTTGCACAGATTCATGAAATGCATTCTTATAAAATAATAAATTCTTCCATAACGTGTTCAATGTGAATACAACAATCTCTATCTTACATGAGAAGTTCATGTACAAATAAATTGTTTACGTATTAAAAACATCAAAATAAGCAAGGAGAGAAAAAAGTGTATATGGCTATGTGTTTATTATAGATAATAACAAGTATATAACAAGAAGCATGGTGGGAAAGCAGGTATTTTTATAATGTAAACGTGCTTGCAGGGAAGTAATGTGAATGTTTTTTAAAGAAATGAATATATAAACATGCATAATTGTCAGAAGCGTACTCAAAAAAATGAGACAACTCTTCACAAACTCTTCAGAACGCTTTCTGTAAAATTGAAAATCTTGGTTAATAATGATAATAAAGAAATATTTAAAAATAAAGTGTGTCTACGAACCATAGCGAAACGGTAAATGATCTATTATCATATGCGGTGAAAATCCAATTTCTTGAAATATTTGTTCTACTTTTTCTATCTCCAGCATCATGTACTCTTTTTCACTACTGCCGTTACTACAGCTGTCACTATTATTATTTGAAGAGTCCTTTTCCGGTTTATTGCTTTCTTCCTCATCATTATTTTCACAATTGTCCTTTTCTTCATCCGTCACATCACCGTCAATTTCACAATACGGTGTCCTTTTGCTTCCCACAATCCAGTAAACCTTTCCTGCAGGGTAGAGTTTTAGATTTTGCATATGTGAGCAAACATCTAGTCTTGTTTTCCAAAACCACGATTCATATTCGGCCTTTGAAGCGCGCCCTTTTTCGTCGTCACCAAATTTCCTTGACTGGTAATCAAGAACCTTTTTTATAATCTTACTGGCTGTCTCTTCACCAGCCTCGCCATCTTTTGACTTATTTCGACCAAGGAATCTTACCATATTCCTTAAATCCAGTACATGACCTAGACTTAGACGGCAGATTACATCATTGCCGTAAGCTACAGATGTTATTAAACTTCTGGTACGTCTTGAGAGTTCGGCAGACATTACGCACGGAGTTGCGAATGCATAGGCATGCACCCTTCGGCCTAGCGGCAGACGACTCCACCGAGTGGTCATACAATTCGAAGGTGAGGCTAGGAGAAGGGCTAATAAACTCGCAACACCTGACAAATTATATTGAGTGGTAAAATTAGAAAATCGTTTAGATGTAACAAAAATCTGTACACAAATTTCAATAACACACGTACCAGCACCAAGAGAGTGACCAACTAATATCAGGCCATAATCTTTGTTTGCTTCCATCTCTCGTTTCAATGCTTCAAATACACCAGATTGTCCTGGAGTGGCCATCGATTTTGCTACTTTAAACATTCCTTTGTGTACTTGATGTATTGTATCGTCACCCCGTTGAATATCCTCAGGCAACTGGAAATCTTCATATTCGCACGTTAGATCAACAATAAGATCATGAACTGACATCGTCCCACGTAAAGCAAGGATGATTGACTGCGTGGTATGATCACGGATCAAGAAATATGTTGGTTGGTAGCCATTCTTATTATTGGTCACTTTATGATGTGATGAATCGACAATAGAATCCAACGATAGATCGGTTGAACTTGCAAATGCGAACCGATGCAACGTGCCTCTTTGTTGTTTCCATCGACGAGGCGAAGGAAACGGTATGTGACTTTTAATGGCAGTTGTGAGATTGTCATATGCGGAAGAAGAGAATTTTGAATATCGCTTGAGATTGTGTAAAAGAGAGAATAATCTCTCATCCTTACTTTGATCTTCATATTCTTCCAAGTATGGATTACTATATCTTTTCGTGGTTTCCAAGAAAAGATTACTTAGTCGTTTAACACGATCCTCGTCCATATTCAGTTTAAACTCTGACAACTCTTCACGGGGGGTCAATTCACCAACCACTATATTATTTGATTTATTTGTATTAATGACCACCATTTCCTCATCCTCCTCCTCCTCGGCCATTAGCAATTCTAATTCGTCTATCAAGGTATCATCTGGTTGAATGTGCACCCAATCACACATATCCCACAAATCAACCAACTTTACCTTCTTCCAACCACCCAAATCCCTCTCCCATCTATCACTTGTCACATATTGAAGACAAGCCCAAGCAGTCAATGCTTTCATCACATGAAAGATTCCGAATGGTTCGTCCAGCTCTGCTCCATCTTCGTCATACTGAAAAGTCCACTCGCGTTTTACCAGTTGAACAAATTCGGCTAGAGCCTTGGCAGCATCCGTCGTGCCGAATAATGTGTCAATCAGGTTCATGCTTTCAGTGGCTGTGCCCAAAGCAAGTTGCACCGTTTCGGAAGTAAACTCTAGACCGGCCAGCGCGACTTGCTCAGTTAAGGACAGAGTCCGATGCAGCATTGTTGTCGAAGCGTCAATTAATCTAGGAATGAAAAATAACATTCTTACAAAATCAATAAAAAAACAATGAAAAGATACACAATAAATCAATAAATCAATGTAGAGACTCGGATAAGTGTAGTGTAAGAATGATAATGTAAATTCGGAAATCAATCCTACCTTCCAGCCCCATCTTTTGAAGAGGTTGCCTGTACCATCCTTTCAGACATTACACCGGTGACAGTTCTCGCGATATCCAAACCAGCTCTAGTCGAAAATTTAGCGGTTTCCAGAGCAATCTTTGATATAACACCGGCCAAGTCCAAACCTACTTTCGATACAGTAGCGATATTTGAAACGGTCACGGCCAAATCAGAGTGAGGTTTCAGAACAAGACTGTTATTGGTAGTTGAACTGAGTTCTTTTTTCTGAATGTTTGATTCAGAATTTTCGGCCAAAACCAATTCCTGTGGCGGTGGTATTTTCTCTAGAAAACAGGTTTCCCTTCGTCGAGCTTGAAGAGATAGATGCATATCTTGACCATGCTTAATTTGAGTCGCTACATGTTCCACAGGAACATTTTTCGAAATGGTGAAGGCTTTTTCCTCTTCCGAAATCTCAGTGTCTTCATTTTCTACTGAGTGGCTACTATCGCTCTCGTAAGCATAATAGTTTTCTTCGTTCACAGGCATATTTACGAATGAAATCACCAGTGAAAAATATCCTTTCGTTTGCCAAAGCCGGTCTTCGGTCACGATACTGGATATCATATAATATATATAATCATTGGATAAGGATCAACCAATTTCTAGGGGTAGACGCCTGATTGAATTTACAGTAATTGATGTACTGACGCCAATATAAATAAACAAACCGGTAATATGATTGTAACATGCGGGTTAAGAACACATTACAAAGTTTGTTACACCAGTTTCTATATAAGGGAGCAATAGTACTTGCAAAGGATGTTGATGTACGTTCATATTTACGTATTAAGTGTTAAGTGATACAGTTTTAAGATATATTAAAATCATGTTAGAATCATACGCTTCTCACTCTGAATTCAAAAATTCAAAGCGATCAAATTTTCATTTATTATGTTAAAATAAACATCGTTTTATTCCATTGTTGTCAAAATTTTCTTTCTTTCAGCCATCAAGCCGATTATTTTTTTTTTGAAACAAAGGAGAAGGAACTTTCTCTTGGCTGCCGTTATTCTAGTTAATATAAATGTGGCTTTAAACTTGCGCCTTATAAAAGGAAATAGAAGATGCGAGATTTTTCTATGGTAATACAAATGGGTTTTAATTAAGACTCATTGACGAGTCTATTAGTAAAATTCTTTGTGTAATCGAAATTTGCAAAAATGTGACTATATAAAATTTATGATAATTTGTTTCACAAAAAAAAAAAAAAAACTGACCAAATAAATACATAACGATAAACGCGGAGAAAATATTTACGTAAGCAAGCACGAGTAAACTTGATTTTCTTCTAATTATGTACATCACCTGACTTGTACAAACATACTTGCCCCTTATGTTGATCACAACATGCGAAAAAATCTGGAATTAAAAAAATTTTTTAAAAAATCTATACATTTGGTTTTTATAATATATTTCTTTTAGATTTAGATTAAACATGTGATTTATAAAGAATTTAAAAAAAAGTTTTTTTTTTTAAATAAGTAAATATTATTTCTTTATTTGATTTGTATAATACAAGATATATATTATAAAAAATTTTTTTTATTTTATTTTTTTAATTTAATTAATTAGATCTTGTCTAGTTAGAAATATTAAATGGTTTTAAATAACTGGTTTGGAGTTCAAATTATATGAACTAAACCTAATTGGCAATTTGACCAGTTCCTATATGCACGATTACATAACTTTATTCCAATAAGAAATTATCTTATTTATATACTGTATGTCAATCTTTTATCTTTTTACATATTTTTTAAATTTTTTCTATTCTTATTTAAATAATTATTCTTTCTATTCTTCTATATACATATTAATTAAATGTTAAGTTTTAAAATATAAAATTGCACAAGCTTTCTTTGAATATAAATAATTTCTTGTTAAATTAACTGTAAATTTTATTATACTAAATATTTGCTTACTTGATATACTTGTTACTTATATTATTAAGTAATTATATTATATATTATACTGACGAAAAAAAACTATTGAGAATTTATAGATTTTATCTTTCAATATAAAAAAGTATTGTATCTTCAATAAATAAATAAATATATTTTACAAGAAGATTATTATTATCTATAAATATTATATATATATTTTTTTAAAGTATTTTTAACCAAAGTTATATAAAGATTCAGACTTAAGTAACTTTATCACAGATTTCTTATTTTCTATAATATAATTTTTATAAGTTATATTAATTATGTTTTATTTTTATTTTTTTTTTTTGGGGGGTTTCACCTCATAGGTAAGCATCATTTCTTTATTTGTTATTTTATATAACATGGTATACATCGTTAAATAAAA